CCACTGTAGTGCACCACTAATGACCAAGGCCCAATTTTTCCACACCCACATGTGACATGTTTATATAATTTGAATATTTTACAGCAGGGTCCAATCCTGCACTTGTCAAGAATAACTCTGAAGTGTTATGGTGTGTCAAGATTTGCGCACTGGAGCACCAAGAATTGTACACTCAGGGACAGTGTGACCGAATAATGAAATGCAGATGTGCTAGAGCCGCAGGATCTAAGGAGCCGCCTGGTCTTCACCATAGCCACTGATGGTGTGGATGTTGAGCTGCGGGGCAGCTCCCAGGTTGCGGCTCTCTGACACACCTGTGCAGGCACAGTGCCATTGGGTACTCAGGGACCACAGCACACTGGACAAGACACAGGGTACAAGGTACAGAAAACAGGCACTAGAGGGAAGGCACAGGCAACATGCGTGACACAGGGAGCAGGTAACAAAAGGGAACACACAACAGGTGCACACACAGAGACAAGAGTTTAAGGGGTATTTAAAGGATATTTAAAGGAATTTTTCATTTTTATTCTTACCCTTTAGGTGATGTAAAAATCACTGCTACTTTAAAAACTATTTTTTTTCATTGATTCCTGTACCCTAGTGCAGTACCCGGGTCCCCTTACCTTTTTTATGACCAATAACTTGCATATAAGCCCTCTTAACCGTTTGCTGACCAGGTGTTTAAACCACCTTCCTGGCCAGGCCATTTTTCAATATTCAGCGCTACAATGCTTTGACTGACATTCATTCCATCATGCAACGCTGTAATGAAATTAATTTTAAAACATTTTTTGGGGACAGATAGAGCTTTCATTTGGTGGTATTTAATCACCACTGGGGTTTTTATTTTTTACTATATAACAAAAAAAGTACCCTAAATTAAAAAAAAAACCTGTTTCCCTATGAAATGTTATGAAACAGGTATTATCACCCCAATTTTTTGGTAAAATATAAAAGACGGGGTCATGTCAAACTTTAAAATTGCGCGCACCCGCGAAAGCGCAGAAAACGACCACACCCAAAAATTGCCTTAGGCGATGCTTTAAAAAGCTTTTAATTATGTTAGGAAACAATTATTATTACCCAGTTTTTGGTTAAATATAAAAGACGGGGTCACATCGAGTAAATACACACCAAACATGTCAAGCTTTAAAATTGCGCACAAAAAACTACCATACCCAAAATTGACCATAGGTGACGCTTTAAAAGCTTTTACTGCTCATCAGTTTAGTGTTATCAGTGATTGATGGCCCTACGACTTATTGCGTAATGGGCACAATCGCCGTTTTTGCAGGTATGCTCACCCGACGCATGTTTGCATGCGTGTATGTATGGGTGCGGACTTTAAAAAAAGTTTAATTTTTTTCCTATTTTGTTTTTCACTTAGCCCCTTATGTAATAGCAATAAAGTTAAGAAAAACTCCTATGTGATAGCAAAGTTATGCGACAGGTCCTCTTTATGGAGACATCAGGGGTCACCTAGGACCCCCCCCCCCCCCC